TCCCACCTACCACCAATCCACACAAATGGTTATCATAGTATGATTGTACAAGGTAGTTGACTTCAAAGTTACTACAGTTATTGCTAGCTAGTTTCAATTTTATAATCAGGAGGAAGGAAAGAGTCATTACAGAGGTCAGTCTGCTTTAAAACAAGCCTCCAGAGATTTAAGATAGTTTTCACCACTGAAACAGTACTAAAACTTCACAACAAACAAACAACTTCATTTGGGTCCTTGTTAAAGCCTTGAGAAGATAATCAAAACATTCTCAAATCACTTGGCTGTCATCATTGCTGCATTTATATGAAGAGATGACTAAGTCATCGTGAACCTCCCTTGTTCACAACCTCTGTTGTTCTTCTACTTGATCAAATAAGTGGTTCTTCATATTATCTTCATGGTTTTGAACTAATTCGGGGAAAAAAGAAAAAAGTACATAAATCTCTTTAAGAGCTAAAAGTGACAGTTCTTCATCTAGAAAACAGAATCTAGAACACAGCAAGAGAAATTGAGGGCTGTTAGTACTGAACAGTACAGTAAAGCTACAGATACCCCCCACCACCACATGTTAAAAGTAGCTTCAGTAATGCTATAGAGAAAATCAGTCACACTTAAAATTAGAGAAACTCACACAGAAATTAGCCAGCTACATCTGCTACAGGAGACAATATAAAATATCATCTTAATTTTTAGCATGTGGTAACTTGAGGTAAAACAATTAGGGTTTGGGGTTTTTTTTTAACTTTTACCATGCAAGTTATTTTCAATGCCTGCAAGTGCTGCTTGCTTGTCTGTTTCAGATTCAGCTTCATTCTCATCTAAATTGTAGTCAACATCTTTGTCCTGGTTCAGTGCTTCATGTCCCTGTTTGTCTGGAAAAACATTTAAATTAATTAGTTTTATGCTATGCCATAACACCATTGCACAAGAAATAGTTCCTATAACAATCTACCACAGAATTTATTTTGCAGTTGAATGAACTGCTGTTTAAAGATTGGATTTTCATATTATTTTTCTTTTTGAGCTATTAAATTTCAGAACAGCTTTTGCTGTAAATCTTGTATAAAGAGCTAGAGAACAGAGACAATCTTCTGGGATTTGGAAAGTGTAATAAAAGTCAGTCAGCTCTCAGAAGGACAGAAAGGAAAAACATTAAACAACTACAGAATACATTACATGGCAGCTTAAGAAAGAGTAAAAACTGAAGCAGCTATTGAAAATTTGACCACAGTGTTCCTTTTAAATGTATTAGCTCCATCAATAAAAGAGATCTCAGATTCCTCACTTCTTGTTTTAGTTTGTCCATCAAGTAGAAAGCTGTGACAATAGCTTAAAAAGAGTATTTTAGGATGTGTCAACTTGAAAAAAAATGTTTTTCTATAAAGGAGATTTTCTTTACCCAGTCATTACTCATCCCACTCCATACAGATTCATCTCAAACAATTTTTACTGACTACTTCCTTTAGATTCCTTTATGGAGAGCTCAAAAGTAAATGGAAATTTTCCTTCTGCCCCCCCCAGCCTCCCATCCTTATTTTATAGTTAACCAGCCAGAAAAAAAAACTATAACAGCACCAAGGGAAAGCATACTCTAGTTAAGAGAGACATGAGTCTCTGGTTCTCAAGGAGAAAGAAAAGCTGAACCCTCTAATTAGCAAGTGGCTTAGAAATAGGCTTGAAAACATTTAGCCTTATATATTGTCCATGTTCAGACCACCATTTCAAATAGATTTTTATAGTAGTAGACCTAAAGGTCTCAAGCTTCAAAAGAAGCTTTAATTGAAAGAGAGAGGATACTCAGAGAATATAAAAGAAATCTTTCTCTACCTTGCTGCCATCTGAAACCAGTAATCTGTTTCAGGAATACTAGGAATTCTAAATTCTAGGAATTTATGTGTAGCTGACAAAAATGTTGTGTTGCCATATTCAAGTACAGAACAGTTTACTTACTCTCCCAATACATACAAAAATCTCAATTTAGACTTGAAAATTAGCTGATGTCCTGTTATTTCTAAAACACTGTCTCATGGGCTTATCAAACATATACTTCTTGCTTCAAGATCTATCCTATATAATGTATTCCAAAAATGCTGTACTATCCATCAAGTTTATCAAGAAGATTATCAAGAAGATTGACTGTAATAAGCCTATGCAGTAAGTTATGGTATTTTTTTGAACAATCAAACCTGAAGAACATCCTGCTAATCTTTTTAGCTTACAAAAACTCGGAGAGCAGATTTTTTTTCCTGTACTGCTAGATGATTTTTGTACCTAATTCTTCTGTTATTTCAGTTACAACAGAAGCAGTTCAGATAGATAGCTTATATAGGCACACATCTTTGGAGACCAGTTTGCTCTGGCCAGCATATCTTGGGGACAGCTGCAAGAATACCACTTTAGCAATGGAGATGAGATTACTTATCCCTGCTAAATTATCAACTTTATTAACATCATTACTCATGATTGATTACATGAAAGCATTCACTGGATTAAAAAGCATAAACAGTGTTCCCTGTGGGCATCAATCCCTACTCTGACTGCCACAAGGCTTCCCTTCACCTTCTCTGCCTGGTCCACTGACTCAACTTGGCATTATGCTAGGAAGGGTGAAAGGTGTCTCCATTCAGAAGAGCTGGTCGCAAGGTACTTGGGATACTCTATCAGAAGATAGAAGACACAGGATTGAACAACCTCAGAAAAAAACAAGGAACTGAGCCTGCATGAATGCTGTAAACTTCTCCAACTGTGTAAGAAAACACCACTCTCCTCTGTAAAGAGTACCTGATACTCTGGTTTTAGGAGCATCATTCTGCATGCATGAATTAAAGTCCTCTTGCAGCACACCTGACACTGAGTTACTAAAGACAGACAGAGGAGTGTCTAGATTCTGGTCAGGTTTAGGCATGACATCAATACTCCACTGCTCGGCATTGTGAAGACAGGTGATTTGGGGACACACTTGGCCAAAAACTGGCATCTTTGCTTGCAACCTCTGATCTGCAGCAGTCTTCCAGGCTCACGATAATAGACTTCAGATACCTAAAGTCTTCTATAGAGTTGGCCTTTTTCCCCATCCCCATATTTCCCATCTCCATACTTTGAAAGAGAGGTAGTTAACATTGACACATCATCATGCGCCCTGGTAATGAAGTGCCCTGGTAACAAAGGATACAGAGAAGGCAGAGTTATTGAATGCCTTCTTTGCTTCAGTCTTCACTGCTAAGGCCAGCCCTCAGGAATTCCAGATCCTGGGGACAAGAGAGGAAGGCTGGAGAAAGGAAGACTCTCCCTTGGTCGAGGAGGATCAGGTTAGAGATCTTTTGTCCAAACTTGACATCCACAAATCCATGGGCCCCAATGGGATGCACCCACGAGTGCTGAGGGAGCTGGCAGATGCTATTGCTAGGCCACTCCCCATCATCTCTGAAAGGTTCTGGAGATCAGGAGAGGTGCCTGAGGACTGGAAGAAAGCCAATGTCACTCCAGTCTTCAAAAAGGGCAAGAAGGAGGAGCCAGGGAACTACAGGCCTGTCAGCCTCACCTCCATCCCTGGAAAGGTGATGGAACAGCTCCTCCTGGAGGTCCTCACTAAGCATCTGGAGGACAAGAAGGTGATCAGGAGTAGTCAGCATGGATTCACCAAAGGGAAATCATGCTTGACCAATCGGATAACCTTCTCTGATGGAATGACTGGCTGGGCAGAGGAGGGGAGAGCAGTGGATGTTGTCTCCCTGGACTTCAGCCAGGCTTTTGATGCTGTCTCCCATCACATCCTCCTAGGTAAGCTCAGGAAGTGTGGGCTAGACGAGGGGACAGTGAGGTGGCTTGAGAACTGGCTGGATGGC